CAGCTCGCTGGCAGTTGGTCTCTTGAAATGATCCAATTCAATGTCCAAGGTTACTGTCATGTTATACCACTTGCACAGCTAGCTCAGAATCCCTTGGTAGATGCATACTTGGAGCAGATCACAGTCCAGCCCTTGCTTGAAATAGTGGATCAGGGACCACTCTGCCCACTGTCCCAGGCAATCAGCAACTCTCCGGAACTGTCAGACATATTCTTTCACTGGGTGACCTCGTTGCCTCAAGTGATCTATCTCCTTCTCTGCTTGCAGAGCTTGAGATTCATCCTCAAATCTGACTCTCAGCTGTTCCATGAATAAATTCGCATCCAACAACTCCGGAGTCCCTTCATCATGAAGGTTGTTCACCCACTCCACTGCTTCCCCTTCCATGTTGGCTGTCACTGCATTTACTATTGTGGCATCGTCAGAATAAGTGTGGGCATAATGATCCATATGAGCCCTCACTTGCTTTAGGAAGAGGTCATATCACCCTCCAGAATCCTCTCTGCTGGGCACCCGGGCTTGCAGAGCGAGGCCGCTGCAAAGGATTTTGCTGGGATTGAGAGCTCGAGCCTGCAGCTGATGGAGGAGTGGGTGAAGCGGCACGGGTGTCAGCAACAGGACTGGGACTTTGGCAAGGGGGTGGAAGTGATGGATAAGTCTTCTCTTTACCCCCCCCCCCTTGTGCACTCACATTGGACTGTAGGAATCCCTTTGTTGACTTCCAGCCGGTCAAATTTCTCCTTTAGCTGTTCAACTGAAGGACAGTGAATTGCAGTCTGGTACTTCCAGTCAGCAGAGTTGTCCCATCCAGTCGATCCCTTCCATTTCTTCTGCACTGCGGAAGATGGTCCCTGGAGAGGAATTAACAACAGCTCCTCTTCAGCAGGCTTACTTCTATGCTGAGGGATCAGTTCCAATTGATAAGAGGTCCACCAGGATGGTGGTTCCTTCTTGAGACATCAACTTCCCTGGCTGGATTATCTTGCTTTTTGGCCGGGCCCCTGTCATCAGACCCTCTTTGGTGGCCGGAGCAGCTGCTTGCTCTCCTGAATCTCTGCTGCAACCAGCAGTGGATTCCTCTTTTTCCTCCATAGATGTTCACTGAGTCTTCACTATCCTCCCAAAGTGGTGGGTAGGCAGCCAGGGCTCAGCACCCCAAGAAAGAGAGCATTTTGAATGGGACTTGGTTTAATATCAAGGTTCCAATAGACAAGACCAAACAAATCAGAACTCTGAGGCTTAAAATTTCCTCAAAGAACATGTTTATTGATTACATAGTATCAGCATGGTCAAAAGTGAAACCAAGTCTAAAATTCCCTTCAAAGAAAGACAATAATACAAAGTTGAATATCTCACCCCAAAACTATTCAATCAGCTAGGTTCCCCAATAGAAGAATTTGGTGGGCTTTCTAACCAAATGCTCATGCCTCCCCCATCTGACAGACATAAATGACCCTGGTTCCTACGGGACAGTAAAATCTTTAGACTAGTAGAAATCCTCTGCACCCCCCTCCCATTCTTGTGGCAACCTAGAATGAGTAAAATGGCTGCATCTAGGTTCGTTGTAGAATTGACATCCAATTGGAGTCATACGCACTCACACACAATATTTTTACTATGAACTCAGTACTCAACTACTTCAAAATTTGTCGAATTTGGTGCAAAAATGTTGCCCCAGTACTCATCATTTGTTTAGTACTCGACACACTATAAAAGAAATGGGGGAGTGTTACAGAGACTGGACATGAAGTTGACTGTGCTAGGAAGGTTGCGGACATAGAAAAAGGGACAGATATAAAGTCCTTCCTAGTCACAAGGTTTGTTTTGTACTCATCTTTTTTAGTACTCGTCATACCTCCTGGAACCAACTAAGAATGAGAACTGAGGTACCATTATATATTTTGAGTCTGAAATATGATTAATAATAAAATGGCATTTATTGAACACTTCAGGAAATGCTTAAGAAAGATTACAGGTCTCTGTTAAGAAAGCAATTCAGGAAGAGTGACATTAACATACTGGGAGTTTTTTCTATCATAATCATATTTTAATTTGAGATTCAGAGATTGTCAATATGACTGTTCAATAAAAAATGCTTTCCTTGGCTATATCCCCACCATTGGAGATTTGCAGGTATTCATGCAGCTTAATCCTGCAATGGGTTCAGCTGGCTTGTGGATTTTGGATACCTGGAATTATTACTGAATGGAAGAATAGGAAGGAGACTATAGTTCGCTTTTTATGATAGACATGTTCAAATATGTGACATTGATCAAATTTGCCTTCATTTGTGATGTTCAAATATTTTTGCTCTTTTTGAAAAATTACAATTTATATACAATTGTAGTTACCATCTTCCTGAACTATAGGATTTGATATTTTGAAAATTCTTAAATTCAACATCTTTTTCTTATTTTGTTTATTAATTTTTCCTCATGCATTTAAGCAAAAAGCAAAAATGGGGAAAGAGAAAAGAGAGAAAATGAAGCGATCGTAGTTCTAGCAGGTACTTAGAATCTTCTACATCTAAAAAATTTACATCCTCAACTTACAACCATAACTGAGCTCAAAATTTCTGTTGCTAAGTGAGATAGTTGTTAAATGAGTTTTGCCCCCATTTTATGACCTTTCTTGCCACAGTTGTTCAATCACTGCAATTGTTAAATTAGCAACACAGTTGTTAAGTGAATCTGTCTTCCCCATTGCCTTTGCTTGTCAGAAAGTCTTAAAAAGTAATCATATGACTCCAGGACACTGCAACCATCATAAATATGAGTCAGTTGTCAAGCATCTGAATTTTGATCATGTAACCATGGGGATGCTGTAACAGTCATAAGTGTGAAAAATAACCATAAGTCACTTTTTCAGTGCCATTGTAACTTCAAATGATCACTATATGAACTGTTGATAAGTCAAGGACTACCTGTGTAGAACACAACCTTCAATATATTATCCTGATGTCAATCCCAAAGGTGCTTTTTCAGGAGGCAATTGGACTTGTTTGTTTTTCTTTGAGGACATTGCGCTTCTCATCCAAAAAGCTTCTTCAGCTCTGATTGGATGTTGGGAAATGGAAGGATTTATATTCCTTGCAGACAGCTGGTCATTTGCATTGTTTTAGAGAGTCGTTGAGGCCATGTGTGTGGAGCTTTCTCATCCAAGATGCAGACAACACAGACTCATCCCCAACAGCCTATGCCTGTCTTCAACAATAAAGGGCAGAAAACATCCTTCAGCCAAGAAGGCTCCACACATATTTGCACTATCCAGGTGACCTTGAGGACACAGATAAACCACCACCACCACCACCACCACCACCACCACCATCATCATCATCGAGTTGGAAGGGACATTGGAAGTCTTCTAGTCCAACCCCCTGCTCAGGCAGAAAATCCTATACCATTTCAGACAAATGGCTGTCCAGTCTCTTTTTTAAAACTTCCAGTGTTGGAGCATTCACAGCTTCTAGAGGCAGGTTGTTCCACTGATTAATTGTTATAACAGTGAGAAAATTTCTCCTTAGTTCTAGGTTGCTTCTCTCTTTGATTAGTTTCCATTCACTGCTTCTTGTCCTGCCTTCAGGTGCTTTGGAGAATAGCTTGACTCCCTCTTCTTTGTGGCAACCTCCGAGATATTGGAACATTGCTATCATGTCACTCCTAGTCCTTCTCTTCATTAAACTAGACATACTCAAACGGCCTCAACAACTCTCTAAAAGAATGCAAATGACCAGCTGTCTGCAAGGAATATAAATCCTTCCATTCCATACCATCCAGTTAGAGCTGAGGAAGCTTCTTGGATGAGAAAGTCCAACTGCCTCCTGAAAAAGCACCTTTGGGACAACCATGACTGGGATGACTGAAGATCTCCACTGAAATCCTGATGTCAAGGTCTTAGCTTTTTCTTCATGCCAGGTACCTGGAATTTAATTTACCATACAGAGAACTAGTAAAGATGGTGGAGCAAGAGAAAACTCTAATTCTAACTTTATACTTAGAAATGTTTGCTATAAATAAATTTTCTATGTAGATTTTAGTCTCAAATATCCAGTCCAATCTAACTAATTTTGGAATTTAATAGTAAAATTCAACTGTGATAAAATCAAAAGAATGTTCTTCAAATACATGCAAAAATATCCTGCTTTGATGTGTGGTATATAGATTAAAATATTGGATTAAGACTGCAAAATTCAAGTACACACTCATCGATGAAAGTTTAGGACATGAATTTGGACCAGTCTCTCTGGTAACCTTATAAGGTAGATCAAATTAAGAAACAGATGCCATGTGGATTTAAAAATACTCTAATAAAACAGCTATCTTCCAAATCTGAATATGCTTTCCTCCTCCTTCACTTTATTTCTGTGTGAATTAGGGAGAGGCCTGCCTGAGGCTTTTGCTTAAGTCTGTTTCTTGGAATGGGCTGAAGCCACATTTGTCTGATCATTACCTTGATAACTGATCTGACTCCTTCAGATTAAGCTATCCCACAAAGTTGTTGCTATGGAGTACAGTTGAGGGAAATAATATTTTTGTTTTTGGAGGAAATCTAACAAAACAACAAACAAAATTTTAATAAATTGAAAGTCTGATAAGCTATTGGACAAGAAGCTCTGTGACAGCAAATCCCAGCTTCTGAATTTTTATGAAACTACTTGAAGCAAAGCCAAACATGCTTTTCTCACCAATAGGCACCAGTTATTCTTATAGCCTGGAGGATATTGTAACTACTATGTTTCCTTACACCAGAATAGCCTACAACTCTGATATTCTCTGGTGATCTTCCATCTAAGTATTAACCAGGCCCAATTCAGCTTAGCTTCTCAGCCCAGGCAAGACTGATGCTACACCTCCAAGACATATTCCAAAAATCAAAGAGCAGTATCAAATTCTATGTATTTGCTTGTTCATGAATCCAGTCCAAATAAAGGGGCACAACACTGTTCTAGTTTGATATCCCTGGAGAAAACATTTAAGGATGAAATCCAGAGAAAACCTCACCTGTGTAGTAGGACACTGAAATTCCAGCAACACCAAAGGGCTAGCACATTTCATGATGTTGAAGTAGAACAAGTAAGGCTTCTGCCTGGAAACAGAACAAAATATTACAAACAACTGTTCTTCTATTTGTTCCTATCAATAGGTGATGCCATATGATACACAAAGCTTCAAAAAAAAAGGAAGATATCTCTTCTAATCCTTTGAGAAAGGTTGGATATCACTTCTAAATGAATTACAATCAAGCATTTTCCTTGCTTTTAGCAGGGCTAATCATGTTAATGGATTTGAATGATAATGTATTTCTTTTAATTGTATGATTATTACCAGTGTTGTAGTTTATGTTCTTGTCATAAACCTCCTTGTCTGCTTGCATGAATGAAAAAGCAAGCTATAAATGAAGTATATCTTCAAAATGAGAGGCATAGACCTATCTTCATACGATTCTGTATGAACTTTGATGTAGAGGCTTAATGCAACCAATTTTGGTCACCATACTACAAAAAGATGTTGAGACTTTGGAAAAAATTCAGAGAAGAGTAACTAAGATGATAAAAGGCCTGGAGACTAAAACATATGAAGAATGGCTGCAGGACTTGGGTTTGGCTAGTTTAAAGAAAAAAAGAAACAGGGGTGACATGAGAGCGGTGTTCCAGTATTTGAGGGGCTGCCACAAAGAACAAGGGTCAAATTATTCTCCACACACCAGAAGGCAGAACAAGAAACAATAATTAGAATTGATCAAAGAGAGAAACAACCTGGAACTAAGGAGAAACTTCCTAACTATGAGGACAATTAATCAGTAGAACAGCTTACCTTCAGAAATCGTGGATGCTCCATCACTGGAGATTTTTAAGAAGAGATTAGAGTCACTAGACAGCCACTTGTCTGAAATGGTATAGGTTCTCCTGGTTGAGCAGGGGTCTGGACTAGAATTCCATGTTCTATTCTATTCTATTCTATTCTATTCTATTCTATTCTATTCTATTCTATTCTATTCTATTCTAATCTAATGCAATTATCCCACAAAAAGAGCAAAGCCCCAAACCCAACTATTTTATGAAATTGCCCTAAAATTTAGGCTGCAAGGGGGAAGTATTATTTTTCCTGCTGCAGTCTCTTCATTGATCTCTACCATCTCTTTCAGTAGCAAGGGGGTGGGTGGAAAAGTGAGTTATAGTAGAGGGAGAACAGAATACAAGGTGCAAATTTATCTCCTTTCTTAGACAATTGGGTCAGTGGCTTGGCTTTATGAGCAAAGACTGGTATAAATTTTCTGTAGAAGTTAGCAAAGTCTAGGAATCATAGGGTGTCTTTGGCTGTGTGAGGGACTTGCCAGTCTAGGACAGCTTGGGTGTCCATCTACATGCCTTTTGTGGAAATACAGTAACCCAGGAAGTCTAGTTATTGCACATTTTTCTGGCTTGGCAAAGAGATTGTTATCTCTTAGTCTATGGAAGACTGTGCCCATATTGTCTGTGTGCTGATCCTTGTTCTCACACTAGATTAAAATGCCAAATAACCACAAATTTATCAATTAAATCTGCAAAGATTTGATTTATGAATCTGAAAACTATGGACCCAGCTTTACAGAGGCCAAGTAGTAGGACTGTGTATTCAAATTTGCATATCTGGTAAAGGCAGTTAAGTAGTCATGGCCTTTTTTGATCCTAATGAGGTTGTAAGCATTGTGGAGGTCCAGTCTTGTAAAAATGCTTGCTTTCTATAGTCTAATAGGTCTGGAATTAACAACAATGGATAGTGGTCTCTTACTGGGACTGAATTCAAGACCTTGTGTTTATAGACCATTCTCAGTGGGAGGTTCCCACTGTTAGGCCCACTTGGGTCTGGTTTCTTGTGCACAAAGAAGGGGGGAGCTGAAGCAGGGGACCAGGGGGATCTAATGAATCCATTTTGCAAATTAGAGTCCAAATATTGTTTTAGTTTCTAATTCTTTAGTAGACATTTGGAATTGTCTCTTGGCAGGAATCTTGATACCAGGGATCAGATTTATGGTGCAATCACAATCTCTATGTGGGGGAGCAGGTCCGAGGTTTCCTCCTCTCCAAAAACATCAGCAAAGTCTGCATATTTACTTGTCAGATTGAAAGTCTCTGTTAATCTTCAAGGGGTGCTGGTGGGAGGGTTTGGAAGGCCAATTGCAGTGGGAAAGGCATTCAGGACTATCAAAGGTAGTAGACCAGTTTTTCTACTTAACAATGGGATTGTGGTGTTATAACCAAATGATTCCCAGCACTAGTGGATGATCGATGTGATCAGCTATGGAAAGAACTCTTCAGGATGCTTTCAAAAGCACTGTGGTGGTGAGTAATGGGTCCTGTTTTTAAAATTCAGCCATCAATAATTATAACTGGCAATGGAGACTTCAGGGAAACTGTGAGGATCTGAGGTTTCTGGACTTATCTGAGGTTGCCCCAGAATCTATCAAAACAGGGATGGTGGTTTCCTGACCACTGGGAAATGTAAGGATAGAATCAAATTTTATTAATGTACCTAAATGTGGAAATAATTGAACCCTGTTCAGTGCTTGGGTGGCCCAAGCACTTGTGGGCTTGGGGAGAGGGGGGCATTTCTCATTTCCATGGCCTTGGATTTATTGTCCAGATGGTGAGTAATGGAGACATTGCTGGATTGCCTGTTGCCTCTTCTGGGAGGTTTTAGTAGGGCAATTCTTGACCATGTGGCTAGGCTCTCTGCAATACAAACAAAGGGTGAGCTCTCTGTGCCTTTGCCATTCTTCTACTCCCAGGGCTTGTCTGGCTGCTCTGATTTGTATCGGTTCTTCAGTGTCCAAATCCAAGGGCAGGGAGGCTTGGGGTAGTGACAGGAGGAGGTAGCTTTGGAAGCTGCTGTCAAGGCTGCTGAAAAATGCTCTGTTCAGCGAGTCATGACTCAGCTGTTACAGCAGCTAGATAGAGGTCTTATAGACCATGGGAAATACCTGTATCAGTTGTATGATTATAGCCTTACTGCACCTCTTCTTTAATTGTGCTCTTAAAGCTAGCTCATTCCAATCCAGATCTGCTGCAATGAGGTTGAAATCTTTAAAATATGCTCTCACAGAGTTGTTGCCTGGCATAGTTGGTAGATGCACTGCTCAGCTGTTTTTATCCGAACAGGGTCTCCAAAGTGCTCTCTAAATCTAGTGAGGAAGTTTGGGAAATTATCCAGGATGAGGTCATTGGTTTTAATAAGTGGAAACACCCAGTTGGCAGCAGAGTCAGTTAAAACAGGGGTCCCCAGGCCATGGCCCACTACTAGGCCATGAGCCGTTCAGAACCGAGCTGCAGAAGTGGTGGGCGAGCATTGCAAGCATGCATCGCCATTTGCTCAAGTGGCAGGCATATGCACACGCCACTTGTGCATGTGGGGATATGTGTGTATGAATGCTCATCCATCATTTCTGTGAACCGATTCTGAACATAGCTCCGCAAAGCCAGAAAGATTGGGGAACTCTGAGTTAAAAGACTAAGGATAAAGGAGACTCTCGATCTGTCTATTGGAAACTCCCCCAATTAGGTGCCAATGAACACTTCACACTGGGCTAGGAATGTACTCATCTTATCAGACTCACCAGTGAATCTCTGTGGTAAGCAGCTGGGGGTCTTAGGGATGAGCACAGCAAGAACTGGCAGTTGTGCCTGGGTAGATGGAGCAGGTAGTTGTGGTTGTGGAGGAATTTCTTGTTGAGTCAAGATCTACATTTGTTGCATCATTTGTTGAAAATTGGCTGCAAGGTTTCTGATTTCATTTTCAATGTCATGTTGGCGTTTGCTGATAGAGCGGAAGTCTGACTCATCCACAATTGCTGCAGCTCTGGGATCTGAAGCCATGGCTTGGGTATTCCAAAGTCAGTGAAAATTTTGGGTGAAGGGAGTAATTCAGATTAATGTCAAGCACCAGGGAAATCAGGAGATCCAGACAGTTCAAATGTGTATAAAGATTTATTGAAAGCTTAAGCTGTCTACAAGAATCTGAACTACTAATAGTCAAGGGAAATTAATGGGAGTTAAGAATAAAAGGAATTTAAGGTGGGCTGGACTTAAAATTTCTTGTGGGTGCAAAGGGACTCATGACTGATGACGCATATGACTCCTACCTCAGGCTCAGCCTGGTTATCTCCTACACTACTTATATTTCCAGGCTGTAAAAATCAGCTTGGGCCAAAGTTATATTAATTGGTTCTGTATCAATTGTGGCATCCAGGTCCATATGGATATGAGCAATTTGGCAAACTGTTTTACAAAATAATTATAATATGCTATAATGAAGTCTTCATAAAACATTCACTCCCCCCCCCCAAGATGACTAATGCAAAGTTACAATGGAAATGCTAAAATATAATCACCATTAAGTGGGGGCTTCAAATACATTTTAGCCTTTGTTTGGTTCAATATGTTTAGCCGTGATGGTTCAAATTCAGAGAATCATCCTACTCCAACTACCCTGGAACCTGGAAACCCAGTCACATATCAGAAAGGGATAACGTCAATCTCAATCATTTTACTGTTTTAGAGTAATGAGCTTCAACAGATGAGATCCTCAAAACCGGGGCTCCCAACCTTTTTTATACCCCGCATCCCTAGAAAGTTTCTGATATATTCTCGCACTCCTTACAAAAGTTCAAAATAATGGCAACGAATTATACATATAATTTTGAAAAACCAAGTTTTCGCACTCCCTGGAATATTGTCTCACATCCCAGGGGGTGCAAGCACCCCTGATTCGGAACCCCTGCTCAAACCTACTGGAACCCTTTTAGATTCACCAATCTCTTGGCACAGACTTCATGCAAAGAGAATTTCTCCTTGATACTTACTCATTGGGTGTGCCTTTTTGGCCACAGAACTGACCACGTCTATCTGTTGGATAAATCACCTTACGAGGGTCTCCTTGTGTCCACGCTGAAAAGAACATTGAACTAAATTCAACTAATTTAAGTCATTTATTTTAAGCATTGCCCAATTCCAAAATAACTTTTCTCCAGATCTTGAAGCACCATAAGAAATTACTGTAAACTTTTAACATAACCTTTTATTCATGTATATATTTCATGTTTTACTGGGAAATTAGAATAAAGGCATTGTGGTTTTTAGAGTATATGAGATAATTTAATATGAGTGTGCAGATTAATATGCGCTAATCTAGCTCTCTCTTTGTTGCATTATACTAATTATTTTAAAGAGTCAGGCACATATTCATCATGCACTGAAGCTCACAAAATCCATAGTAGTAATAGGAATCTTCTCAAATGACTATACTCCTGCTGAGAAATAGTCCTGCATATAATCAATTTAGACATCAAGGTTATCAATTTATATTATATATTACCAAGGAAGTAGCAGTATTTAATGCAACAGAAAGGGGAAATTATTAAATATATTCTTAGAAGTAATAATTTCAACTATATATGTTTTAATTCAGAAGTCCCCAGCCTTTTTGGCACTAGGGAGCACTTTTGTAGAAGACAATTTTTCCATGGACAGAGAGGGGAGGAGGAAGAGTGTGCAACTTAGATCCCTTGCACGCATAGTTTAGAGTAGGGCTCACATTCCTATGAGAATCTAATGCCTGATGATCTGAGGTGGAGCTGAGGTGGTGATAATGCCACTGCGGAGTGGCTGCAAATACAGCGGAAGCTTTGCTTGCTTGCCCACTGCTCACTTCCAGCTGTGCGGCCAGGTTCCTAATAGGGTTGTGGACCCCTGTCTTAATTCATTTAAATATAGTTGAAATGAAATCAAATGTTTCTGTATCCCAATGCCAGCCAGTATGGTTTAGAATGTGGCCCCCAATATTCTTCTCAAAGACCAAGTATAAAATTTGTTACAAAAGGGTCAAATCTTGGTGCAGCAGACATTAGCAATAGGATTAAACAGCAAACCATTATTTAAGATTTGACACCTTTAGTTGAATCCTACTTATTTCCTTCTATGATGATATACCTTCTTGGCTGACATAATTCTCCTTCTCCATCTAATTTGATATCCAGCTTTCAGCAACAAAAATATTATCTCAAGGCAGAAAAAATAATAAACAGTAGAATACATACCCACAATACCCACTGCAACATAGCCCCCAATTGCAACCAGTAGCAAGATACAGCAGATGATATCTGTGCAGCTCCTGGAAGAAGAAACAAGCTAAGTGAGAGTAAGTAACAATATATTCATCTCTGGTCAGATGGTAGTTATTAGTTGGTTATTTGAATCAACATGTCATCATTCAAATTCAGACTTGCAATTTAAAAAAAACCCTTGAAAACTTTCTAATCAAATGACAAATAAACTATAGCCCATCTCAAGAATAAGAGACAAGCAAATATAACCAACACATTCCTCCTTTGCCCTGTAGTGAAAATGGGGAGTGGACATTAACTCCTCAGAAGCAGAAACCACCACCTCTAGTTTTTAGAGATATACACAGGCATATTATGATGTTGATCACTATTACAATGATTCAGAGAAAATAGTATGTTAAGCCTGCTAATCCTACACACAAAGAAGTTAATAGGAAACAAAGTAATCCAGATCTAATATCAAATAACCTTATTGGGCTTGCAGAATAACAGAATTAAAGAATATCAGAATGGGAAGAAACCTTGGAGGTCTTCTAGTCCAATCCCCTGCTCAAGCAGGAGACCCTATACCATTCTGGACAAATGGATGTCCAATCTCTTCTTTAAAACCTCCAGTTGATGGAGTACTCACAATTTCTGGAGGCAAGCCATTCTACTGATTAACTGTTCTCATTGTCAGGAAATTTCTCCTTAATTCTTGGTGGATCTCTCTTTAATAGTCTTCCATCCTTTGCTCCTTGTCTCATCTTCATGTGCTTTGGAAAATCGACTGACCCCTTCCTATTTATGACAGCCCCTCATATATTGGAAGACTGCTATCATGATACATAACTTTATGACTGCTATCATGATATATATCCTTATGAAAACTATCTTGTGATTCCTTAATTTAAAAATAACTATTTCAATATGAAATATATTCATCCACTTAGTTTGCTTACCATAACACACAACTTATCATTTACTGAGATACCTTTAAAAACAAAGTTTCCATCCTGTAGGCATCCTACTTCTGGGACAGGCTAAAGAAAAACTAATCTAAGGTATTCTAGTATAAAAATAATGTTTTTTCCTGCACAGTAATTTCTGAAGTCTTTTCCTCTTAGTAATGTTTGAATTTCAGCCAGAAAAAAACAACAGTCACTCAGAGTGATGTTGGATGATTATTTTAATTTTTGTTTGTAAGCTACTATAAATCTGAATTATGCTGGCAACATTTAACATTTAAACTAACATATAAATATGTATTATCAGAGAATAAGAGCAATCTCCATTCAATATCAAGTCATGAGGTAGCATGATAATAATTGGTTAAGATCCTATAAAACAAATATTTGTCTGATCATCAAAATAAGGCAACTAATGTGGCCCCATAAAAATAAAATATTGGTTGATAAATTTATTTATGAATTGTTGAATATAAGATACAAATTGAAATGTGAACCTCTGATCATATCTCAATAATGTCGGTAAAATTATATTATTATCCTTATATTATAATTAAATAATACTATAGCTATAAAACAAACTATGTCCATGCACAAAGTAAGGAGTGAAAGTAGAAGAAAAAGAGCTTTAGCTACTAAGCCCAACCCATGCATTTCAAAGAAATGATCCAGACTTCTAAGCTCCTGGATTTTCAATAGAATCATCCTTGCATTACTTCCAAAAGGGAATCAACAGATGGCAATAAACGGTCACTCTAGACATAGTGTACTGAAAAATAACAGCACAAATGACCATGCAATACTACTCTCAAACCATTCACCAACAGGGTAATCTTACCTGTCATAAATGGGGCCTTTGAAAGTTGGGTCATATTTATGTGGTGTCCCTAAAAAATGAGATTGTTGAGTTAGACAACTTATAGAATTCAGGAATATGTAAATTGTGTATTTTATTTCCACTATTCCAGTAAGATAAAGATCACTGGGCAAATTCTTTGTTGGAGTTCAATAGTGGCATGACAATTCTCAGCTTGATTTTTGGAAATTCTCTAGATAGAAGCACAAGAATGCAGAAAATATAAACAAGCAGGAGGCGTGTTGTCAGAATCCAATTATATTTCATCTCTAGTTATCAACTATAGAAAACCCCATTTCTGCCTTCTCGGGATTCTGTCATACGATGAAGGGAAGGGGGTGAACAAAGGGGCTTTATGGTCCTCACTTCCTTCGGTACACTTCAAAGGAACTGGATGTGGATAGCACCAAAAGGACTAATCATAACAAAGGGGACTATTACCTTTCATGTAGTTCTCTCTGAAGTCTCCATCCAGCTGGCAGTAAGGAAAAGGGGGTGGGAGTGTAATGCCTGAGACTATTGCTGGAAGAAGGGGGTGATTGGGTGGGGCTACTGGGAAATCCCTTAAAACCTTGAATGGGAGAGCTTGGACCCCAAGTCCTGTCTAGAACGCCTGCAACCATTTTCTCTTAATAAAGGATGCCTGTTGGAAGAATTATTCCAAGAGTTCTGTCTTCTTAAGATACAAAGTGGGGTGGGTCCTTACACGTGGGATGAGAGAGTATGGAAAAAGGATGGTGGTAGTGGGGTACTGTAAAAGAAAATTAGGATTTGAAGTATCACTGTATATAAATTTATACCATTTTTTTATTTGTTCATAGGATGTAAACTGCTTGTTATGACTAACATTGATTCCAATATAACAAAGGTCCCAGCTCCTAACATGTTTATCCAAATCTCTGAAGAGTTTCTACTGTATGTTGGTCTTGGGGGAGGGGCAATCTTGATAGATTGTGTCTTCTATTTTTCTCCTTTGAGATATACTAAGAGGAATTTGAGTGAAGGGCAAAGTTATGTTCACATTATTTCAAGTTTATAATAGAATGATTTTTTCTCAAAATGCCTGCTTTTTTGCAGATACAGAAGCATCATTGTGCAATTTGAGCACAGGATTATTACTTTCCCCCAATCCCATGATTGAAAAATAACTGAGGAACCTACACTTGGAGAGTTTCTATCATTGTATAACTTTAAAGCTTAAAGATATAACCAGAACTCTGATCAATTCTAGTCTCCAGCAGTATTTTGACAAATTACCTGGAAATGGAGAAGTGTGAGTTCCTATACCTATGATTATTTTGCACATTTCAGTAGAATCATAATACTAAAGATGAGAATTATTGCTGTTGCCAAAATGTCTACTTGTATTTTATTATTCATGTCCATTATAAACTTTTCCTTCTGTCGTTCTGCTTTCTTTGCCTCCACAAAAAGCACTTTGTTTCACCAACTTGATGTCTTTCAAAAGTGCTGAACAACAACAAAGCAAGCAGAGGTGACTGTATTCCAGCTGAGCTATTTAAAATGCTAAAAGATGATGCTGTTAAAGTGCTACACTCAAAATGCCAGCAAATTTGGACAACTCAACAATAGTCACAGGATTAGAAAAGGTCAGTTTATGTTCTAATCCCAAAAAAAGGCAATGCCAAAGAATGTTCAAATTACCATACAACTGCATTCATTTCACACACTAGCAAGGTCATACTCAAAATCCTACAAGCTAGGCTTCAACAATATGTGAACCAAGAACTGCCGGTTTTAAAGAGGCAGAGGAACTAGAGATTAAATTGCCAACATTTGTGGGGAGTTCTAGAAAACATCTCCTTCTGCTTCATTGACTATCCTAAAGCCTTTAATTGTATAGATTACCACAAACTGTGCAAAGTTCTTAAAGAGATGGGAGTACTAGACCACTTTACCTGTCTTCTGTGAAGCTGTATGCAGGTCAAGGAGCAACAATTATAACTGGACATCAAACAACTGAATGGTTCAAAATAGAGAAAGGAGTACAGAAAGGAGTACAACAAGGTTGTATATTGTCACCCCTGCTTATTTATCTTATATGCAGAATATATTATACAAAATGCAGAGCTGAATAAATCACAAGCTGGAATTAAGATTGCCAGAAGAAATATCAACAACCTCAAATATGCAGACGATAGCACCCTAATGACAGAAAGTGAAGAGGAGCTAAAGAGCCTGTTGATGAGCGTAAAAGAAGAGAGTGCAAAAGTTGGCTTGAAACTCAATATTAAAAAACAAAGATCATGGCATCTGCTTCCAGCATTTCCTGGCAGATAGAAGGGGCAGAAATGGAAGCAGTGACAGATTTTATTTTCTTGGGCTCCAAGATCATTGCAGACGGTGACTGCAGCCATGAAATTAAAAGATGCCTGCTCCTTGGGAGAAAAGCTATGGCAAACCTAGAAACCATGTTAAAAAGTAGAGATATCACCTTGCTGACAAAGATCTATGTATTCAAAGCTATGACTTTCTCAGTAGTAATGTGAGTGCTTGAAAATAAGGAAGGCTCAGTGCCAAAGATTTTATGCTTTTGAACGCTGGTGTTGGAGAAGATCAGATACTGAAGCTGAAGCTGAAATACTTCAGCCACCAAATGAGAAGAGAGGACTCACTGGAAAAGAGCCTGATGTTGGGAAAGATTGAAGGCAAAAGGAGACATGAGTAGCAGAAGATGATGAGGTTAGGTAGTGTATGGATGCAGTGGCCATGAGTTTGGGCAGATTCTGGGAGATAGTAGAAGATGGGGGGGTGACGTGCTGTGATCTAGGGAGTCACAAAGAGTTGGACAAGACTTGGCGACTGAACAACAACCAAGCTCAAAGTCCAAAAGATAATCTCTATAAGATAAACCCACAAAATTTTTAACTTTGCTCCTCCGTTCTGAGCCCCAACTGTAACATACCCAATCACATGCAACTGCATTTGATCCCAAAGCCATTTCTTGTTTCAATTCTCTCTTCTTCTCTGGTTGTTCAATAGTATCAACCTGTAGTTTAGACTATGTTTTCTACCCTAACTCAGAAATGGGATGTGGTTCCTTGTGTGTAGTGCTAGCTGGTTGGATAAGGGCTAATAAATTGAAACTGCAAAGGTAGTCATTGTATGAAGCTAGAATTCCACATAAATGATAGATCTGCCTATTTTGAATGGGATTAGGCAGTTTGAGAATGCTTCCGGATCTGACTCTCTCCCTGGTGGATCAGATTAAGATAATGGACAGGAGTACTTTCTATCAGCTTCAATGACATGTATCTCTTTCTGGGCAATAATCTTAAAACTGTGGTGCATATGCTGTAATTTCCACGCATGACTTTAGTGCTCTATGTGGAGGTGACTTGGAAACTTTGCTAGATACAAATTCAGCAGCAATGCAAAAGTGCTAATATTTCTCTGTGCTTAAGGCAGGGGTCCTCAACCCCTGATCTGTGGACCAGCACCGGTCCATGGCATGCAAGAAACCGGGCCGCACACCAAGCAAAGCCCCATCTATGAGATGCAGGCAGCACACGAAACCACGGCCCCTCTGGTCTGCGGAAAAATCTGTCTCTAAGGAACCAGTCTTTGGTGCCCAAAAGGTTGGGGGCCACTGGAAGGGCACCAGATAAACCAGCAATTTTTTTTCTGGGTGTAATACCCAGTGCTGATCATTACCTTTAAAATCTTAGTTCCAGACTCTTTCCTTTTTTCATATGAACATCCACAATTACTAGGAACTTAGTTTGCTCAGTTACTGCAGTTATGTGGCAGTGAGTCAGGACTCAGTTCTATTGCCCACCCAATCCTTTTGGAATGCAGTCTCTTCATTTTTATCAGTTTTGTAAATGGCCATTAAAGCATCTCTCTTTTGTTCTGACTCTCAACTGTTCATTTTAATATTAGTTTATAATAATAATAATAACAACAACAACAACAACAACAACAACAACAACAACCAGGTCCTGGGTAAGGACTCGATAGGTAGACAAAATGCCAAATCCAGTCTGAACATCTGGCTGACTGTGCGATGATCAATAATAATAATAATAATAATAATGTTGGAAGGGACCTTGGAGGTCATGAAGTCCAACCCCCTGCTCAAGCAGGTAACCCTATACCATTTCAGACAAATGGCTGTCCAGTTTCTTCTTAAAAACTTCCAGTGTTGGAGCATTCACCACTTCTGGAGGCAGGTTGTTCCACTGGTTAATTGTTCTGTCAGGAAGTTTTTCCTTAGTTCTAGGTTGCTTCTCTCCTTGATTAGTTTCCATCCATTGCTTCTTGTCCTGCCTTCAGACGCTTTGTAAAATAGCTTCACTCCCTCTTCTCTGTGGGAGCCCCTGAGATATTGGAACACTGCTATCATGTCCCCCCTCGTCCTTCTCTTCATTAAACTAGACATACCCAATTCCATCAACCTTTCCTTATATGTTTTAACCTCCAGTCCCCTAATCATCGTTGTTGCTCTTCTCTGTACTCTTTCTAGAGTCTCAACATCTTTTTTACATCGTGGTGACCAAAACTGGATGCAGTATTCCAAGTGTGGCCTTACCAAGGCATTGTAGAGTGGTATTAATACTTTGTGTGATCTTGATTCTATCCCTGTTAATGCAGCCTAGCACTGTGTTGGCTTTTTGGGCAGCTGCAGCACACTGCTGCCTCATATTTAAATGACTGTCCACTAGGACTCCGAGATCCCTCTCACAGTTACTACTATTGAGCAAGGTAATACATTTGGTTTTTCTTGCCTAAATGTAGAACCTTACTTTTTTCACCATTGAATTTCATTTTGTTAGATAGCGCCCAGTGTTCAAGTCTGTCCAGATCCTCCTGTATCCTAAGCCTGTCTTCTGGAGTGTTGGCTATTCCTGCCAGCTTGGTGTCGTCTGCAAATTTGATGAGTTCCCCATCTATCCCCTCATCCAAATCATTGATGATGATGTTGAAGAGCACTGGGTCCAGAACAGAGCCCTGGGGCATCCCACTACACACTTCCCTTCAAGTAGATGTGGTTCCATTGAGGACCACACA